AATTATCATCGGCCGCTTCATATGCTATGATCTACGATTCAATTGCGAATTATCATGTGCTACCATCGTCATAATCACCAAATCTATTGGTATGACTATCATAATGCAAATTACTCTAAATACTACTCTATATTATCATTTGAATTATTCATTGAAAAGACATAATTATATATTACCATTATATTACAACAACATTTGTCATCACATAAATTACCATATAAATTATATTATATTATCAGGTTGTTATTTTGTTGAGTGGACATCGAGTGGTTGCTTTGTCAATCGCTGTGAGTGATCGGAATATTTATTTTATTAGAGTTATGACTAATCATTGGATTGATATTTGGCTACGATTATTTATGCAAAGTATTCACGGCAACTAATTAATTACTCGGTTGTGTTCGGTTGGCTTGCTCGCCTAACCAGCGGGGTGGCGTGAATTGAGGCTAAAACAATGTGCACGGAAATGCGAGCATTGTGACCAGCAACGTTACAAACGTTTGATGACAGCCTGGCTAATCCAGATAATATTATCAGGTATTGAGAGTGTCATATAAACACTATTCCAGCATCAAAAACGTATTGAAAATATCATTCGACACACCCGATCAATCACGATAATACCAGCAAATCGATAACGGATAGCCACAATCACATGATCCAGAACGAAAACCATTACAGAAAAATGAGCGACAACGATATACGTATACACACGATAACAACATCAATAATGCGCACAAAATCGAATCGAAAACCGAATATCTAACAAATCAAACCAAACTCGCCTCTAAAATGATCCAATCTGAACGAATGGCTCTTAATAAAGTCACGAAGAGAATTAGCTAAACCATTTGTAACGAAAAGAAAAACCCGAAAATATTTTATACCAAATCTCACAGATATGTTTGTTGCGTAAATAAGTAAATAAACGAACTGGAATCAATCAATCACGCTTCATCGTGATTGTAAACCGTCATAAGAAGCAATCTCACTAAGCACTCGCTATGAATGAATGAATATTTCACGTAATAATACGAGAGATATTGAGAATCCGGATGTAAACCGTTCATCTCTCATCACAGAGAGTTCCTCTGCAGTCAAGTCATCACACGATCCCAAACACAAATGTTTCTTTGTAATCGTTTATTCGATCAATCAACACAAGAAAACGTTAAACAAAACATACTTAAATCAATCATAACGATACAAAACGAATTTATATCATAAAAAGAGTATCTTCATCACAAAATTTCACGATAATAACAACAGCGAATATGATGATAATAAGGATGATAATTAAAAAACTCGCACAATAAGAGCAATCAAATCAATATGTTATCAACTTTTCACATAAGATGATTAAAGTCTCTTTCTAATATCAAACCAACTACTTTCTCCTGCTCATTAAATCTGACCGATCAAACAAAACAACCCAAACTAATACCGAAAATTTCCAATTTCTGCTTTAAAATCTCTTATAATCATAATTTTTTAAACAAACTTAAGTCATCAATTCAGCACAAGCCTAAGTTGAACAATAAACCTAGGTCTGAGTCTCACCATAACAAGCACAAAACCGGAACAAAACAGGAACACTTGTAGATTTCATTTCCTCACAAATTCAATTCGTTCATAATGGAAACAATTCAGATTCGGAGATTCGATTAATCCATTCTCGCTCTAATCGTTTTGATGTTCACTTTATCCTTGGTTATCGTGTACACCATAACACCCCAACCACTGGCCGCATCTCGTTCCATCGCCGACAACATTGACTGTGCGGTCGCTTCGAATAGCTCATCCGGACTCATGTTTTCACGCCAGAAACCTGAAGTTTTGACGTGTTTCAACCTCCAAAAAATCAGTGGCTATCACTCAAAAATACCACCTGGATTGGCCAGGCTGTCATCGAACGTTGGTAAAGTTGCTGGTCACAATGCTCGCGTTTCCGTGCATATTGTTTTAGCCTCAATTTACGCCGCCCCTCTGACTAGGCGAGCAGGCCAACCGAACACAACCGAGTAATTGATTAGTTGCCGTGAATACTTTGCATAATTAAACCTAACCAAATACCAATCCATTAAATGATCATAACTCTAATAAATTCCGCCGATCGCTCACAGCGATTCACAAAACAACCACTCGATGTCCAAGCAACAATTATTTAGCTACTCAAAAATAACACACAAAATGAACACAACTCAGTTATTCACAGCTTCATTGTATCAATCAACAAAAATAAAATAAATCGAAATATCGCAATTAATTTCAAAAAACAAACAAAAAATTAAACTCTTCAATAATTTTCTTTACTATCACTCAAAAGTAAACTAATACCAAAGTTGTTTATGACATCAAATGAAGCTGAAACACTCTCAAAGGCAGTGACATTCTGAAAGACCTCACTAGAAACTGCGACGACTGATTAGAAATGAAACGTTCACATGCTTACCTTCACAAACGCCCAGCAAATATTCTGATCCAGTTCCAACAGCCACAAAATCATTCGGCGATGCGATACAACCAATTGTATCCATACCGCAGATGTATGGCTTATTTGTGACCGGGTCTAGTCCCGCAACGAGTGGTTCAGTCAAATAACCACCAAAACGATGCTGATACAGCAGATTCGATATCATTGTTGCAACTACCTGCAAAACTTACTCCATGCATTCATATACAAGTAAGATGAACAAAACAATAGCAAATAAACACAGTACACTATTGCCAGAAATATTAATAATGTTGTTATTTTCGATATATCGCTGAACGTGTCCAATTCAACAATTAGAATGCCGTACCTCAGGTCTGATTTTTCGGTTCTCGCGTAATTCATACAAATTTTTCCGGAATAAAATTTTATCGAGAACAGTCTTCGCGTCCGAGAAGAAACCACCGAGACCAATGTAGATTTTATCACCCAATTTGTGAACCTTACAAAACAAACAGCGTTATTCCTATGATAACCAGCAATTTGAACAAAATTATCACTACTATCAATAATCATTTGCACAAAAATCACTAATGTTTCATCCTTTGCTGTAAACCTCAACTACTATGTCTGCTCCAAATGAGTGAATTAAGAAGGGCACTGCCATCAGATCAAACGAAACAATAGCAACAACGCTATCATTATCACCGGTTTCACCATCGCTAGAAGGCTACAATCATGATCCCCTCATAAGCATTAGTATACTGCTATTATTCCTTTGACACTACCATCGTTATTTATATAATTAGCAATTACAACTCAATTACAACTTTCCCTTCCACTTCTCACCATTATTATTGCTTAATGCTATTGAAATTACCAGTACTGTCATTTAATTCCATCGTTTAATTGGTAAGTTATTTCACTAATGATTATGATTTACACCTATACTCTGATACTTACGATTTATACCTTTACGATTTACATTAACATCAGTTAACGAATGAAGAGGCTGTCCGCAAGCGGGCAATTAACATCATTACAAACATTGAAATTATTCTCATCGTATAGGCTTTCTATCATAAATCCGAACAAATAAATCGAACCTTCTTCACATTCGTCGCGATTGTCGTCATCTGCTCTCCTAACCTCAAATCAGTCGCAATGCAAACGCACTCATTTCCAGCCATCGCTAGCACCGTACCTCCATTATAGCTCATAATCGACATGATGACGGCGGAGTTTTGTTAGCTTCTTCGGCCTGACTGATCAACAACCAATAAAATTATTTTCAGCTAATCGTAAAACAACTGAATGGAATTAAAATTCTGATAAATTACTCGAATAACATTCTATGAAATAACGCAAAATTTGAATGAAATATACCTCGAAATTTAGATAAAGAATGAGCAAATTCTCAAATAATCAACGAATTTCGATAACAAATAAATTCACCAATACAAATAAATACGCTATAACATTTTATAATTGAATTTCAACAGCGAACACAATATCAAAATAATACGTTTTGTATCAATCAAAAGCTTAAATGAAACTTAATCAACGCTTACGGACTCCTCTAATCCGCAATACTATCACAAACACAAATACAAAGAGACGAATTTAAACGTCTTCTGGAATCATTCATTACGAATGGAAACCTAGCAAAAAGGTACGATGAATTATATTTATTTTTATTAACTTTGTTTAATCTTTTATTTCGTTATTCATTAGTGAAACAACGAAAACGAGCGATTTAGTAAACGAAGGAAACACAAAAACATTGAATATTCGATTAGGAGTTACTTCAACACTAAACATTTTCTATGTCAATTAAACGCAACGAATTCATTATTCAAATATGAAAATATCATCTCAATATGAAACTTCTTATATTTAATCATTATAAATATTACCAAACGCATATAACTCAAACAACATTTGCTACAAATGTAAATGAGAATGCACAACGAAACCAATAAATTGACGATGAACAACAGTAACAACTCAACGCAACAATATTACTATTAAAATGAATTCTTAAGGTTCAACACAATTCTCAAAGCGTATCATAAAAACAATCGTTAATATTGCTCGAACAACAACTCGAATAATCGAAACGAATAAATTCACTTTTCATATAAACTAACTTTTGATTATAAAGACAAATTAAGATTCATGACGACTTGAACTCCATAAACATTTCATATAACAGTCATCAAATAGAACATTATGGGTAGAATAAGGATAATTCTTTCGAGAAATAACAATAAACTGAACATTCAAAGAGTATATAATACGCTTTGTTGCATCCATCAATAACTCACGCCATAAAAGAACACACCAAAAAAGGCCATTGCTTAAAAATAATATTAAATAATGCAGTGCAATGCTACACCGTATCATATTTCTCATCAAATCCTCTTTTTCAAAGTTCGGCAAAATTTCTTGCCCTATCTAACAGTGAGTTTCCACTGGACACTTCTTTTCCCAGTATCGAAGACGACGGTGCTTTTCTTCCAAATCAAAACTTCTATCTGGAAGACTGGCGCTCTACAATCACAATCATTCTTGACAAACTTTGATCAGCTACGCAAGCGCTTAGTACGATCGGTTCAAAGAAGTAAGGTTGAGATGCTGATATCTTCTCATGACACAAACAATTGCCGGCATTACTTAATTAATCAATGAGAATGCGATAGTTAATCATGATAGTAACAATGACGATAATGAATAAACATTTAGTAAACGAATAATTTTAAAACAAAAAAACAACAATTCAAAACAAATGAAATTGCAAACAAATGCAAAAACTTCAATGTAACAGTCCAAAGGACCACAGAAACTTTCTGCAATTCAAAAACTTCGTTTCAGCCACATTCTCCTCTTACATTTGATGTTTTCGAGGGAAATTCCCAGTGAATGAAAAAAGAATCAAACTATTGAGATTTCATAAACGAACAAGCAGCAGAAGCAATAGAAAATCTAGAAATGATATGCATATGGTGGGAAAAGAAGCTAAAATATAATGTGAAAAATATATTGCAAAATATTTGCAAAAGATTTCTCATGCCGGAATAATCCAACGAAATAAAACAACCCAACCACCTTAAACTGATGAACTGGTAAAGATATGAAACACGCTTCGATCAGTTACAACACCAACAAAATAACACTTAAACACTTAATTCATTTTCTTCATAAACACAACGCAAACACACAAATAAAATTCATAAAGACACCACTATCACCAAATCAACTGAAAATTTTCAACCAACGCCGATTCATGCCTAAAACGACGTTTCCATTCCGACGTTTCTGCTTACAAGGAAATGTCCCGAAGTTAACCCCATCTTTCGGGATGAGATATATACCATATTGCAGTGCTCGAACTCTTACAATTCTACCTATACTTACTCGCATTATTATCTCTTACAATGTCATCACCACCATCGTAAATAAATGAGCTCTCTTTCTAAACTCACAACCACGCATGATACTGTTTAACGGTTGGAATCAAGACTGGAGGAAAGATCATCCATCATTTACACAAGCTCCTTCCATTGCTCATATATGAGCTTATATAAATGACTACCTTGCTTCCTTTCATACGGCTCTCTTTATCGCTCGGTGCAGAAACGCCGTCGTTAATTTCTTTTTCGACTTACTTATGATGACGATGCTCTACGAATAATTACTATACAAGATCAAACAGAACGAACGAAACACAATATTCGAATGCATTCCAAATGAACAATTAATTGCATGCACGATAAATCACCTCGGCAAGACTTAATGTTTCTTTGCCCTTTTCAAAGAGGCATCTTTCGAGTGGAATCGATTCCATCAATGACAAAAATGAAATCCAATTTCCACTCACCAAATTTTCACTTTAATTGAGATGAACGAATGTGCCTGAATTCTCTCTTTTTCTTCCTCATATTCCCGAAATTTGCATATTCAGTTCTACAATCAAACACAAAACAATGACAAACCCGTTAGAGACGCCAACACTTTTTTTTCGAAACGAAACAGAACAACATAAAACAAATGAAGTAAAGTGTTGCTGTTGTCCATTTCAGTGCGAAACAAAAACACATTTCAACGAAAAACTTGATAAGCCTTGTAAATAAACAAACCAATAAATAAGCAATTAAAATAAACTTAACAAAATAAATAAGAGAATAACAACTGAAAAACCATATTATTGACGTTAGCGATTGAACTGGAAAATTTAACTTTCAACGACGAAAATAAATAAAACAACAACGATCAGCGTTCGTTCTCCTATTTGTTTTCTGCTATATACACGTTTGAGCCATTCAGTTATAAGGCAGTGATGTCTGCACTTTACCTTCAAATCAACCAGCTTCTATAAGCCGCCAAGTGAACCTCGCTTCCAACATCGAACAAAACATAAGAGAAGACTATCCGTGTAAAATGCTCCAAGTGTGCGCCAGTCTCGTGCAACATTATCGAATTAAACATAAACTTTCGGACTTTCACGAATACAAAAATCGACTGCAATAATCGCATCGCACTATCGAATACAAACTGAAGAAGCGAACCAACACACACGCCAAAATAATACGATAACAGTGATCCATGATCACTGTTAGTGAGATAATTCGATTAGACCATACCGTACGCAAGCAGTTCAGGCATACTGTATACATTACTCCATCACTTAATTTGTAGCAAATTATCTGAAAATTTCATTATTTGCTTCTAATTTTCTAATGAAACTGCTAACAAAAGCGAACAGATAGACAATATCATCCGTGGATCCGTAGTCGTGCAAATTTATGAATCTCGTCATGTTTCGATTCGAAATATCGAAACATATTTTGAATTTATAACGAAATCCCTAACAAAGTAAATAACTGAAATGACACATTCTCTTCTAAATATGTAATTCTCAACGAGAATAACGATGAAAATATATCAATAACAATATCAATGTATCAACTTACTCTATTCAAAAAACGCCGCTAGTTGAAAACATTATTGATTTCACTATGGTGTTAGTGGTCGCTTCATCTCCGTCGTTACCTCTTCTTGCTCATCTCCAGTACTATAGGATCGAAGACGTGGCTTCGGTGAGTCTGTAAACACTTCAATGAAACCAATACATGCGTACAAATGAGATTGTGAAACACCATTAACAGTCATATTTTTCATTTTTCATAATGCATTTCATTTACAATCATTCATATACAATCATAATAGATTATACGCAATCAGAACTTTTATCTCCTAATGAAATAAACGACCAAATTCATAAAATACATTCAATAAACTCCATAAACACCAACGAAAAAGAAACGAAGATAAAATAAATCGTAAACGAATAAAAACTTCAACGCTCCATAACCAAATCAATCCACTTACCCGATCGGAATGGCAAAACGACTGAAATGCCCATTGTTGTTTCAGTTGAGAACGGTTCAATTGTGTGCTGAGTGGTTTGTACGTCACACTCTCTGCCCTTCGAATACTCCTCATACGCTGACCATTTCTGGGGGTCACACAACGATTTCACTTTGTCGAGAATCGCCGAACGCATATTTTTGATAGTGAAACGCGGATACCACCTCAAGAAGGAGTCCGATTGAGTGATTAACTGAAAATTCACCACACTATCATAAATAATTCACGAAGTTATCGGAGACATAGTTTCGGTGAGATGCTTAAATATTATAGTGAAACGAATATTTCGCGAAAGAACTCGTCAATTTTAGCATTTAGAAAAATCTATTGCCAACAATTTTGAATCTCAGCAATCTTCTGAACCTATTCGTCTTCAGACTAAAATATCTCCCGTGCCGACAACGTCTATGCGGAAAGTGCCCAAATACAGAGGTATGAATCAAATGTAGACCCGTAAAGGATACACAACACTCGTAAACTAATAACGAATCGTTGCTCTTACTGATTATAGCTATGAATAAATAAATTAAACATCAATTAAATATCAATCCCATCGACAACTCACTTGAGGTGGGTTCACAAGGAAGCACTCAGCGTATTTGAGCAAAAATAGACCACAGTCGGTATAATTGCGTTGTTGCGGTAATTCACGTGGTGTTATCTGAAGTCAAAATAAGAAATTTCAAAAATAAAATTTCACGTACTCATCAAATATGCAGTACCTATGTACATATACTTCTTATTGAACGAATACCGAATCAATACAAACAAAAACTTTCAAATTATATTCCACAAAATGATAATCAAAATTGGCTCTAGAAGAATTTTAGTTGCTGCTGTTGCCTTCATACAAAAATAATCCATTCATAAATATACACTGCAATTTCAAATTCAAAAAACAACTTATTTCACTCTATATTCAATAAAATAAATGTATATTTATGCACCTTCTCGACGAGTTCCTTCGCGAAACGTTCTCCATCAACCGCCTTCTGCTTACGTTTATCGTTGTATTCACACTCCAAATACTCGCGCAAAACCGCTGCCGTCAACTTTCTGCAAAACAAATTCCACTCAAACCGGAACTCTACAAAAATCACTCAAAAAGTGGACACTATTCTCAACTTAAGCAATAAAATCTGCACATAACATTAACGACATCAATAACAGTAATCATAAAAGCAGTTATCATATTCATAATACGAGCCGCTCATATTAATAAACTGTACCAATTCTAGTTGCAATGATTAGAAATAATCATAACCAAATGATAACACGCAATGATCAAAGTAACAAATAAGAGCCGCGTGTTCCGGGGACGAATTCTGCACTCGGTTACATCGAAAATGTGGTCGCCTCAAAAAAGTCGAAGACGAGGTCCCCGAAATTCCCCGATTCCCGCAACACACTGAATAAGAAGAATAACAACAATCAAACATCAGTTAACCTCTTCGGATCAAGATCATCCATCAGTGAGTCCAATACTATGATATATGTTTTCCGTCGTCGTTTCTTTTGGCTTTCATCATTCGCCTCGATCGCATTTGGAACTTCGATGGCAGCTGACGGATGCACGATTATAGCCAAATACCTAAAAACATTTTCATCATCAAATTTTACCAACACTTCAAAAAAACAACACAAAACTTCACCAATAACATTAACAAGCATAGTTGAAATAAAAACTAATCAGTACAAACCAGTGAATATCCTCGTTGATTGGTACAACAATGTATTCCTTGCTGAATAAATCCACATTCTTGGTCCAATTTCGAACCGACTTGTAATTTGACATTATCTATAATCAACGATAATTTAAAATATTAACGGGGTAACAAAAAAAGTAACGACTGCATAATAATGACAAGTGATTGCAATAAAGTAATGATAAGTAACAATCACAATAATAAAGTAATAATCACAATAACAATAATAACTACGACAAACCAAAACACGACAAAATAACAACATCAACGACCATAATTAAGACTGAAACAATCATTTTAAAAACAATTACCCATTTTGATCGTGCCACAGCACTGTGCGGAGGGATGCCGCCATTGCAGTTCGATAACTTACCATAGAAGAATGAATTGAATACGAATACTGATGAACGTCTGAAAGGAATTAAATGAAATAAAACTGAAGTGGAAAATACAACAATGTTTACAAATAATGATCCCTCTAAAAACTGTTCACATTCCAGTTGGAACATCGTCGAACATCGTTGGCAAATGCATCATGCACACTCGGACGTTGTACTCAAATCAAAAGATAAAACTAAGGTCAAGCGTCGAATCCTACTAGTAATATCAAACCTACATCTGAGCACAAGCCAATGTAAACACTTCATTGCCCATACTTTTCTGCTAACCCCAAATGAATGAACTGATAAATGAATACTATTGAATGATACAAGCAAAGACTTCAATTACAACAAAAACAACAACAATAAACTGTCTATCCATCTTTTTCAGACATTCCTAAATAGATAAATGAAATTGATAGGCGTAAAAGGTCACGATACCTTTCTAATGGAATAGATTCGTAGTGAATATGCTTGAGGAAGAAGTCAATGATGACATCGTTCAGCATCTGTTCTGGCTTCAGGCATTCCACATCGGCGAAATGTATCGGTACTGCATCCTTCTCACCAACCGGATACACTAACAGATTTCCTTGTGATAAATCCACATCTTTCTTCTGCAACTTAAAATACAACTGCCTCACCGTCTCAACTTCAAAAGACACCAAAACAACGCACAATTAAAACCATTCCCATTGGAATGGAACAATTCTAATCCACAAAACAAATACCAAATATCATCAATGAGATACTTCTTAATTCTACTAAAAAACCCACACAATATCCACCATTCTATTACAGAAAAATGAATATCACTTTTTGAGAATTTATGCGAAAAAGAACTCTAACATCGAACTGAACCACTGATTTGAATATTCAACTGTGAACCACTCTCGCTCACTCACTCAGAATCACACCACTCATTTATCCATCCAAAAATAATCTCCTACAAAAATCACAACCTACCGCATCAACTCCGTCATCTTCGTCGATCATATGAATCACTTTACGTTGCGCAGCTTGTCGTGTCAACATTCTCGTGCCATCTAAATTTCATTCAAATCACTCGGAAGCAAGATTGAAGCTTTTTTTTTTCGATTTACTCAAATGATTCTTCTCTCAGTCAAATGAACAAATAAAAAATTCTTTTCAACGACCAAAAAAGACCAAAAAAAAGCAAACTAACTTCGAATTGAACAGAATTGTTTACCTTTCAAAACAATCGGTATCATAGTGGTGTTTGCCGCTGATGTTGACGGTACNGCATGGACATTACAGTTGGATGATGGTTTTGATTATTGTCAATGTTATAAATGCTACCGTTACCATCATTATTACTGACACCGTAATGCTGATAATAGTTTTGCTGTTGCATTTGATGAGATCGTGGAGTGCTCGTTTCTACTATGCTGATTTGTCGTGCATCTATTTGACCGAATCTCATTGCGCACTGAATTGTGGACATTACTTTATTGCGCCAATACTTCATCAACAAATAACAACAAAGTGGATTAATAACATACAAATGAATAAATAAACGAAAAAGCTCAATGAAAAACACAACTAATCATTGAAAAAAACTAGAAGACGACTGTTTTTGTTCAATCTATTGCTGATGCATTGCTCTCTTGC